TACAAATGCAGGGATGAGAAGGAAGAAGACCCTAAAATATAAAAAAGACTTAAGTAATAAAGGGTAATATGGTCAAATAAATGAAAATACGTGGGATTAACAAATTGGCAAAACCCTCAAATCCACCCTTAAAAAATATCGACAGAGACACATCCACCCTTCAAAAAAATGAAAGGACAAATTGCTTTTTTAAATTATAAATCAATACAAATCACTCTTTTTCAATAAAAAAGGTCAAAATTTTGTTTGTCACGTCAACATTTTTTAATGGAAAACGTTAAAAAAGAGATGATTTGTATTGATTTATGATTTAGAAGGGCAATTTGCTCCTTCATTTTTTTGAGGGGTGGATATGCCGATATTTTTAAGGATGGATTTGAGGGTTTTGCTTAACAAATTTGGATGTGGCGACATCCCATCCGCTAAACATGATCATATATCAATAACAACAAAATCATGTAAGGTAAATAACTATTTAATGATAGATAAAATGCTGATTGTTTCATGGAAATTAAACTGAAATAACTACCATAAACGAAAAAAAAAAAAAAAAAAGGTTTTAACTTAACGGAACAGGCAGCATATCAGTACTCACCCAGAGATCCCTTCGTACACGGATCCAAAGTACCCACAGCCCAGGAGCTTACCTTTCTCCCAACAAGTAATATTCCTTTCGAACCTGCCATTGGGAGAAATGTTGGACGTAGCCTCGGCTGTGGTACTGGAAAAATCATCATTTGCAGAATGAAAGGAACAGGATTCAGATGACACTGGAGTCTCCCCGATCCTTACCCCGGTCTCCTCTCCCCGATCATCCTGAGGTGCAAAATCTCTAATTAGGTCCAAGAACGAGTCCATATAATCCATAGCTAATCGCTCCAGTTCAGAAGATCTAATTAGGTACCAGAACGCTTCCCTAAAATCCAGAACTAATCGATCATACGGGTTCAAAATCTCTAATTAGGTCCCGAGTCGAGTCCGTAAAACGAATCCCATCAGGCCAGGAGAAGACTCTGCACCCCTTTGGAACCCAATTTTCCCATTGGTTCTCTTGGCGTTTCCCGTCGGCCCAAATCAGCGCGCCACGACCCGAAATCACACCGTTCTTCCACTGTCCATCGTACACATTTCCATTGCTACAAACAGACGTACCCCGCCCGTCTTGCAGATACTTCTTCCGGCATCCTTCATAGCAATCTCCATTTGCGTAGCGCTTCTGCCCGTACCCGTGTTTCCCGTCGGCGCTCCAGGTTCCTCCGTAGGTGTCTCCATCAGATCCAATGAACGTCCCGAAGCCCTCCATTCGGCCCGACTTAAATTCGCCCTCAAAGGTCAATTACTAGTTGATCGGACTATAGAGCTAGTATCTTAGACAGGTTATTTCAATCCAAGTTTTGGTTTAACACAGTACATGTCTCAAGCCAAAAAATGTAGTTTCAAGAATTTGTCCATCTGTAATTTCAATTTTCCAATTAATGATTAGCCTGATTCGTAAGTGGGTTTTCTTCTAATCCCTCGTTTGCAAAGATTCAAAATTTAGGGGACTTTTTCAAATATTTAAAGCTTTTTTTCACTGAACTTTTAATATTTAAAAATTACATTAAATTTCAATTAATTTTAAATCAAATCATATTAAACTTGATAAGAAGGGAAACTCTTTTAACACTTAAACAAATTTTATTTATAGAAAACTACATTCCTTCCACTAAAATCTGTGGGTTATTATTTCAAATATTTAAAGATTGTTTTGAGTTTAGGTAAATAATCTGATTTAATTGATTAAAATAATCTTTTTTTTCTTACTTTTCTATTTTTCTTCAACCAAATAAGCTCTAAATTCTTTTTATCTAACTTATGTGCAAAAATGTCGATCCAAGTTGATTAATTATAAATTAAGAATAATGACAGATGGGGCGACATCGGCTTCTACTGTGAAGACTGGGTTTATGGCACCTATTAATTATTAAAGATTAATAACCTTATTAAATCTAAATACAGTACATATGTGCTGGATATTTTTTTTTTTTTGAACAATTTATAATTATTTACAGAGTTAATTAATTAAAGGAGGAAAAGGAAATCTGTGAGGCGTGAACAGCCCTAACCCAGGTCCAATTTCATTGGGCTGGAGCGGGGCCGTTCACATACATGCTGGACTTGGACATCAATCCTCGAACAAATTAAATAATCATCAAATTGCCTTCCAAATATCACTAAAATTAACAGATTCTCCGTTAAGATTAGAGATAATTCTACTCCTTTGAGATCCGTTGGTGAGACAAAGACAAAAGCAGTAACTTTTCATTTCTTGGACTCCGTCCATCTTAATAAAACGATTTACATAAAACCATGCAAACAAGTACATGCGATTCTCAACGATTTCAGTGGTCATTTGCTGTCCCGAAGTGCAGTCCATGGTTTGTACTCTCATGTTTAGAGTTCAATACCTCCACTAATACCTCTAACATACTAACTTCTAACCATTGTCTTTATTTTTTTTAAAAAGTACATGGGATTCGACAAAGTCCCCTTTTAGAAAAATGGAATTCGCGTTTTTCTTTTTCTTTATCAAACTACGAAATTTTTAGCATTTTACCATCGCAAGGGTGCGCGAGACTTGAACCTTCTTCACCAGAAGGCAAACTCTATAAATAAAAAACTCTTTTAATGTTTATCTTTTTATTTACAAAACTTAAATTCAATTTAAAAAAAAAAACCAAAATTTTCCCAATCATACCAACAAGTTGTTGATAATTATTACTATTACTTAATATTCTATATTCACCCTTACTTCATTTTATACATACTACCCACCCATTTAAATAGGCATGAATAACTCCTCGATATAGGTACAATTGGAACAATAGTATATTTAATGTTTTTGTGTAAAGAATAATAAGTAACACATGGCTTAAAAAGTTTGATTAATTAATTATAAATCTTTACAAAGATTGCACCCTTAACCTTAAATGTTGGATTTAAATCTCATTTTAGATTTATACTTGTTAAAAAGAAATATAAGTAGAAATTTAAACCACACATTTTTAAGTAACCATGACAAGTTGTCAACTAACAAGCAATGAAGTGCTCTAATTTCCTTACCCTATTTTTTTTTTTTTTTTTTTTTGAATTCCTTACCCAATGTTTGGTTGTGAGGAAAAACAAAGACATGACAGGGAAGATAATATATCTTTTTATTTTTCTGTATTTTCGTTCTCTCTCATTCCCTTTCCTTTAATTTTTATTATCTAAATAGAGAAAATAATCTCTCTCCCCTCACTGCCACTCAGACCAAATAATCTATTAGAAATTCTTGGAATGAATAAATCGACAATAGTTTCTTGATAGCCAAAGAAAAATATTTACAATAATATTTTAATTATAGGGTTAAATGCTAAATTTGGTCCCTCAACTTTAGTGAGTTGCACACTTTTGGTCCCTCAACAATTTTTTGCACTTTTTTGATCCCTCAACTCTAAGAAATGTACTTCTTTAGTCCTTCCGTTAATTAAGTATGACGTGGTCACCAAATAATTTCACGTGACATTTTCTTTTAAATCTTTTGATGATGTGACAATAAAATATCTTATAATTATATTGCATAAACAAATAAAATGCCACATGAATATTTATATTTTAACAAAAAAATAAAAATAAACAAAATGACTTTATCACCCTCACCCTCACTCTCTCGATCCATCTTCTTCCTTTCTTTCTTTCTCTCCGACCTCACCAAACCCAGATCCGGTCCGGTTGTTTGATTGAGTCAAGGTTGGCAATCCTTTGAAACCCAAATCGGCTGGGTTCTGTCAAACCTAGTTGCTGGGTTCATCTGCTGTTTGTCTAGTTTTATTCTTCTTTCGATTTCAATTTCTATTCCCAATTCTTGATAAATTTGGGAGTTGATATATAAGTTGATTGCATTTTTGTTAAAATTTGATTGAAATTTGGTTGATATTGTTAATTGAGGGGTTAATTTGATTTTGCTAGATTCATCAAACCCAGTAAGTGGCTTCAATGAATCCTAGCAGCTGGCTTCAATGAATCCTAGCAGCTGGGTTCGACGATATAGAACCCAAATTTTGTTGGGTTCAATCTCAACTGGAGCAAAGTGAGGAAGAAGATGGATTAAGAGGGAGATGAGATAATAACATAATTTTATTATTTTTTGTTTCTTTTTTATTTCTAACCAGAATCACCGACATGTTGCAGTAAAGGCAACTCAGTTTTAGCAAATCTCATCTCGAATTCCCTTCATTTAGATCTCGTAAAGTTTCGTCGAGAAAAAAGAAGAAATTATGAATTAAGATCGATGTTGTAGATAAAGTGGAGATGAAAGAGCAATTTAGGGTTCACAAGAGTTTATCGTGTCTTTATTGGTGCTTCAACAGGCAATGTGGGTCTCATTTGAGTGGATTTGGTGCTTTTGAATCGTGAGAACATGATATGATAAAACGTTTTATCCATATCAGCACTTTTTTAAATTTTGCTCTTCACGTCATAAAAAAAATATAAAAAATGCCACATGGACGAAGTTAACGGCCCAAATTGACGGAAGGATTAACAGAGTACATTTGGTATAGTTGAGGGATCAAAAAAGTGCAAAAAATTGTTGAGGGACCAAAAATGTGTAACTCACTAAAGTTGAGAGACCAAATTTAGCATTTAACCTAATTAAAATGTTATGTAGAAATATAAATTTATAATTATGATGTATTATTAAATGAGTAGATATATATAATAGTATGAATAAATTTTTAAATGAAAAAGTTTAATTATATAATAGTGCAGTAAAATCACTTAATAGACTCACAATTATACTCACCGGTGCTTGTTCCAATGGAGTTGAGCTTGCAGCAGAATTTATTAGAACAATACCAATTGGTGGTGTGGGAGCCGCAAAGGGTTCTATCTCCCATGGTGAAACCCTGTCAGGTCTTGGGATAGATGCAGGCTTATCCCATTGAACCTAGGCGCAAATATAAAATTATCAATACTAGAACAATAAATTTAGGACAGTGGAAAAAAGCATGCAAGAAGAAATTTACTTTTAACGATCGCCATTTTGAGTCTTCCCAGTGAGGAGAAAAGTCATCAACCCCAATAATGGTGCCTGAAAACCTGACCAACCAAGTTCGTTAAATAAGCATCATGTGGGCAACTCAAACAACCACCACATTACACGACTATGACATTATTTCAATTACCTTCTCACAGGAGAATCCTCTCCCTCAAACCTCATCTTGAACCTCATGCCTACCGCAAACTTATTGTTGACAGCCTCTAGATATTTATTCACACTGATGATGAACTGAATCGTCCTGATAATTTACAAGCAAGACAGATATAAGAAAAGAAAGATATGTTCTCCTCGTATTGCTGAACCTGTGTAAAAACATACCTTGGTTTGTAATGGACGGCAAAGGGGATTTTGGTTGCAACAGCATGAAATGCAGTTGCACGCACTCCCAGGTGCATGCTATGAGTTGAAATCACTGATGATAGCCTACTACTTCGTGGGGGAGCAACACGCCTAACTCCAACACGCAACTCCCCATTTTCCCCTCTGCGTAGCCAATTTATTAACAAATTAAAGCTCAAGTTACAAAAGTATGGGTGCTCTCACACACTAAATGAGATTTGAAAACACTTACCTCAAGAATATAAAGGAATCACCAGCAACTAGTCTCTTCGAAGCGACAAAAGTACTCCATCCTGTTGTAAGCAAGTGCCTCCGTAGTTGACCTGCCCATTTAATCCTCTCCAAATTAAACACACTGATTTAATAGGTTTCTCAAGCAGCATGTCCAGTTCCATTATGAACTTGACAGCCACCCAAAGTAAAAGGGATAATAGGTACTTCATTTCTTCAGAAACATCACACGAACAGGACAAACAAAGTAGACATTATTTATTACCTTCGAAAATATGCTTGAACTGCCACTCATAGCCATGAAGATCTTTAGCAACCAATTCCTGCATTGGGGTCGCCCGGGTCATGTCCTGAAGAAGATCCAGATATGGAATATGTTGAATAAAGTTGGTTTTCATTTAGATGAACAAAAGGAGCTAAAAGCATAATGCAACATTAAAATCAGTACCAGTGGAGGAAGGCATTCGGTGGCATGCTCAAGCAAAACTGAAAAACTTCCAAGGAAGCTCGTATCAGAAGCAGTTAAAACCTTGGAAAATGAGTGAAGCTCAGGTCTTGGAGGCTGAGGAGGACACAAATCCGGTGTTGTTGGCTCAGTTTGCTACAGGTAATATTAAGTAAATTTCAGTTGACTAATATTAAAGCAAGTAAAACCCAATATTTTCCATTCCAATAACTCAAAGGAGTAAAAAAATGGTGGAGCTTACATCTGCTTCAGGAAGCAAAGCTATTTGCACATAAACCTCATCAGTTTCTTGTTCAGCCTACAAAGAGAATGATGAATAGAGATATATTATCCCCAAATCAATGATTTTGACAGTACAATTTATTCAGGAGACTTAAGAAAACCTAACTACTAAAAGATAAATGGAATTTCTCTTCAAAATGAACATTAAAAAAAAAAAAATCTAATCTAATCTAATAAAAATAAAAAATAAAGGGAACTTTCTAAGTAACATAACATACAATAAATAAAAATTAAAATTACAAAAGAGAAACAAATACCAGCAGCTGAACTTTAATAACACGGCACAGAATCTTGGATGGAAGATTGTACTTGTCCAGCTGAATCCTTTGATCCAGCTCCTGATTTGTGGATGCCTCCAACTACAATTCCCACCAAAAAAAATACTCAATCCTTTTCCTATAAACGGAATCATTTGGTTACCCATCTAAAAACAGAAATTGGAAGATAAACAATCAACTTACTTGTTCGCTGTGCCCTTGTGGAAAATACAACACTCGTTCTCCAGCCCGCGGAACATAAACCAGTGGACCCGCTATTTCTTTCCACAGCTCTGTATACAGAACATCTCCTCCTCCTCCTCCTCCACCTATCACTCGAAAAAAAAAATTATAAATTTTCTTGGAAAATAAAGGAAAAGTGCGAGAAAATCAAATCGGAACAAAATCACCCTTACCTTGAGCTGAAAATGATGCCATTTCAAGTCAACAGCAACAAGAAACACAAAAACTCAAAGCTATAAAACTCAACTCAACTCAACTCAGCTCAACCTCTCCTTTAGATTCACCTGATTATTATACACAATAAATAAAACCACTGCAACGGCTACGAAACTGTAATACAAGATCCAGATGATCCCGGGAGTGAGCATTTTTTTTTCTCTCTCTAGAAATTTCCTTTTGTGCTGTGTTTGGGAAAATGGGTGGGAATCGTTTGGACAAACACAGGAGAAGGAAGAGATAGCAAAGAGGAGGAGAGTGTGAGGAAGCAATTGGGAGAAAAATAAACGGGTGGTAGACCCTATTG